AAAAAAAAGCATTTAAAAAAGGTAAAAAAAGCAAAAAAGAAAAAAAAGAAAAAAAAAAAAATGAAAAATTTAAAAAAAAAAAAAAGAAAAAAAAAAGAAAAGAAAAAAAAAAGAAATAGAAAAAAAAAGAGAAAAAATAAAAAAAGTAAAATGAGAAAGCAGAAAAGAAGAGAAAGAAAAAGCAGTAAAAAAAATATTGGCCTTCGATAAAAAGTAGAAAAGCAGAAAAGAAGAGAAAGTAAAAAAGCAGTAAATGAGAAAGCAGAAAAGAAGAGAAAGTAAAAAAAAAAAAAAATTTTAAAGTAAAAGAAAAAAAGAAGAAAAGCTGGTAAATGAGAACTTTTTTTCAAAGAAAAAGCAGAAAAGAAGAGAAAGTAAAAAAGCAGTAAATGAGAACTCAGAAAAGAAAAGTAGAAAAGCAGAAAAGAAGAGAAAGTAAAAAGTAAAAAGAAACTCAGAAAGATAAAATAAGAAAAGAAAAGAAGAGAATTTAGAAAAGCAGTAAATGAGAACTCAGAAAAGAAAAATAGAAAAGCAGAAAAGAAGAGAAAAGTAAAAAAAGAAAATGAGAAAGAAGAGTAAAAGAAGAAAAGTAAAAAAAAGCTGTAAATGAGAACCTCTTAAGAAAAAATAGAAAAGCAGAAAAGAAGAGAAAGTAGAAAAGCAGTAAATGAGAAAGCAGAAAAGAAGAGAAAGTAAAAAAGCAGTAAATGAGAACTCAGAAAAAAAAAGTAGAAAAGCAGAAAAGAAGAGAAAGTAGAAAAGCAGTAAATGAGAAATCAGAAAAGAAAAAGTAGAAAAGCAGAAAAGAAGAGAAAGTAGAAAAGCAGTAAATGAGAACTCAGAAAAGAAAAAGTAGAAAAGCAGAAAAGAAGAGAAAGTAGAAATGAATTCACGAAGAAAAAAAAAGAAAAAAGTGAAAACCTAAAAGCAGAAAATGAGAAAGAAGAAAAGCAGTTAAAAAGAAAAAAGAAATGCAGTTAAAGAGAAAGAAGAAGCAGTTTTTTTAAGTTGAGGAGAAAGTAGAAGTTGAGGAGAACAGAAAAACAAAAAAATGAAAGAAAGAAACAGCATAAATACAGAAAAAACAGAAAACATCAGAAATATTGAAAGCAAAACAGTAGAAAAAGTCAATGCATAAAACATAAAATCTGACGAACTGAAAGAATAAAAGCATAAAAGTGAGGAAACATTATGTGTAAATGTAGAACGAGAGAAATCATAAAAGTAGAAAAAGAAAAAGCAGAAAGAGAGAAAATATTAAGTAAAAAAAGAGAACGTAGAAAAGCAAAAAGAGAAAGTATAAAAGAAAAAAAGAGATAAAATAAAAGCAGAAACAGAGAAAAAATAAAAACAGCAAAGCAGAAAAAATAAAAACTGTAAAAGAGAAGGCATAAAAGTCGAAAAAATGGGAAGCATGAATTTGGAAATACAGAATGCATAAAAGCAAAAAAATAAAATAAAATAAAAATAAAACATTATAGGGGAAAAGAAGACAGAAAAATAGAATGTCCAAAGACATAAGAGAGAGGAGAAAGCAGAAAAGCAGAAAGAAAAAAAAACTCAGAGCAGAAAAAGTAAGGATAAAAGCAGAAAAAGAGAACGCAGAGAATGAGAAAGCATGAAAGCAGAAAAACAGACAGCAGAAAAGGTGAAAAGAAACATATAATTGCATAAAAAGAGAAAGCTGAAAAGCAGAAAAAGTGAAATAAAAAGATAATGCGTAAAAAGAAAAAGTATAAAAGCAGAAAAATACAAAGTATTAGAATAAAAAAAAGTGTAAGCAAAAAAAATAAAAAATAAAAATAAGGTGGAAAAAGTGAAACGAAAAAAAGGTTAAAATATTAATTGTACAAGCATAAAAAAGAGAGTATTAAAGTAGAAAAATAGCAGAAAAATAGAAAAAGAGGAGATTAAAATAAAGAACTGCTTGAAACCAAATATAAATTTACATAGCTGGGAAAATTTCGAGCAACCTCGAATCTCAACATTATCAAAATGGAATGTGTTAAAGTCAAATCAGCTGGGAAACTACCTTTTGAGTGACTACAAGGATAAAACATTATCAAGATAGAATGTTCCGAAGCTAGCTGGGAAATAAAATATATAATTACACTGTGTAACATGATTTTCGTCCTTGGGTAGTAACTGTTATTTCCTGTTTGCTTGCACCTAGAAACTATGAAAAATGGCTAATATTTCCTCCAAACTTTGCTTTTGCGACCAGGATGATGATATTTCTGAAATTTACTTATTCCCATTGGGAAAACTGACGAATGTGAATATTCTCGTTCATTCAAAGTAAAAACAAAATGACATATGATTCAAAAGTAAACCAGAAAAACTTTAGAATTGAGTAGTTTTTCGCAATTTATGCTTATACTGTAAATTACTTTCATGAATCAGCCCCCAAATATAGCCTACCATTATGTTTTCGTTATGCTGTAGCGACTGCTATGTTTTTCCACGCCGACTTTTTATTCGTCTGCGATTGGCTAATAAATCAATACTGCCTTTCTATATGACAATTTAGCCATTGCAGTCGTTGCTTTGAATTTTTCGGTTTTTAACTTGCTTGTTTCGTCAGTACAAATTTAGTGATTGGTCAAATTTTAACCAATCGCATATTTTAGTGCAAAATCAACTTTTCCAGCGTTTTCGCTGGGAGCCTATCTGTAGCTATAAAAGAGGCGACTTTTTCACAAGCCGTCAGTAGAGTCCACTAAATTTCGCCTGTCAACACAAACCCATGACTTTACTCACAACATTTCAGATGCACACACAGACACAGAATTTTGTAATACATATATACATATCTCTCTGTGACTCAGCCAAGTTCAATCAATCATCCTGCAGCCCATTTTACCGTGGTTCTTCACCAGGTTCCATAGTTTTTGTCCTTGTGATATCCCAAGAAGCCCCGAGCACTGCGACAAAGCTGTTGTCTTTGTCTTATTTGGGGAATTCCTTGCACTCTATGATCTTCTTTATTTGTGGTTCAGTGAAGACATTTGCTTTGACTTTTGTGCAGACAGCTTAGGGAAGTAGTCTTGAAGGCTGCAGGATGCTTTTCTAGGGCTGTGGCAAATTGTTTCATAAGGCCAAGGTTTTAAGTGCAGTGGAGGAAACAATACTTTCCAGGATCAAACAGTTGTTCCTATTAGAAGTTGTACCTCTCGACACTGAACTCTATCAGCTCTGGCCAGTCCCGCCTGTGGTATTGTGTGGATGGTTTCCCTGTTGTCCCAAAGAAACTTGGTAAAGCCGCCTGTGTTCAACCTATCAGGAAAGACACCATTTTGAAGTCTCCGATAAACTCCCAACCGTACTCTTCTTCGGCATTGGACTTTATGAGACCAAGATATCTGATCAGTTGGTGTAGTATGGGTTTTTTTCTCTTCTCAACACTGATGTTCTCTCTTTGGAAGACTGAATACAGGGATCTCATGTCAAAATATGCCTCAGACATTTTAGCAGATGTTGCCACATGGTATTTTTCGCTTTTGTCTTGATAAATTTGCCACAGACATAGCAAAATATGTCTGCCGGATGTAACTACCTGTTGATGTAATCTGTGACAATTTGTCTGCACTTGGATAGCTAGAAGTAAATTGAACTGTTGAGCTTATGTTTCCTGTATGTATACTGCTATCTATGTTGCCAGAACGTTCTAGAAATTCTTGAAACTTTAAAAAACTTCTCAAAAATTCTTGAAGCTTCTAAAAAGTTCTAAATGGGAATGGTTCGGTGATTGATAGAAGTGGACTTAAAATATTCTTTAAATTCGTCAGAGACGAATACATCTGATAATATAATGCCAAACGCTAAAAAGGACTTAGCGTTATCAGAGCATACATGAGAAGGAACACCAAATAAGTTGGTGAATCTGATAAAGGCTAGTATGAAGGAACGTGTGCTCATGTCTAGTAACAGTTCCAGATGTATAGCACGCAAACTCATACACGTGAATAGTAAAACACATTTTCACATCTTCATCATTGTGTTTCACAAAAAAGTGACCTGTAAAATCCACACCCACTTGTTTAAAGGGGCGGACAAAATTTACCCGATGAGAGGGCAGTTGGGACCCGGAGGGAGCTTTACAAGGCAACGAATTGATCCTCTTGCATGTAATACAATTACGGAGAATCCTTTTACCGCTTGTCTCCTGGGTACCCAAAAATCCTGATAACCTCAACTTACTGAGCGTTGAATTGGTTCCCATATGGCAACAATTTAAGTGAGCCTGATTAATAGCCAATTCAGTCAGGTGATGATTTTTCCTAACAGAATAGGAAATTTTTACTTCAAAAGGAAGAATATCAGAGTTCTGAATGCGACCCTGGTCCGCATCAGGCCATCTTTTATCTAAGAATAGGCCTAGGGCTGATACCCTAGGAGGTATAACCTATTTGAAGGTTGTTTCAAATAATCCAACTCAAAGGAAAAACTTCACTTTGTATATTGGTAAAAGGCAACATCTTGGCTCTATTAAAGGTATTAGTGCTTCGGTGACGTAATTTGTCGACAAAACTTAACACCTTCTCTAAGACATTGATCGCCTTAGATAATGTGGAAAATTTCGAGATTTCCAAAGGTAAACTGCCTTCAACCGGGCACGTATCTACAGATATCATGCAAGATACAATTTTCCTGTTGTTGTCGTTAAGACAGGGTAAGGGTGATACGGGCCAGCAGATGCTATCTTGATTAAGCCACTCAGGGCCGTATACCCAGAATTCGAACAGTTGTGCGAACTTAGAGGTGGGGAGGCCTCTGGTTAGCAGATCTGCCGGATTTTCTGTCGAAGGAACATATTTAAATTTAGGTGATATGCCAATTTTATGGGTAATCTCCTCCAAAGACCTTTTAATATCAGATATTCGGTTTTCAACAAATATATTTTTTTTGGACCATTTGCCGTTTAAAACCAACGAAAGGGTTACTTGAGCGTCTGACACAAGGTAAAGGACAAGGATATTTATAGGCTTTAAGGCCGCTAAAAGCTGAGGGACAACTTTAAGGGCCAGATATATGGCCATAAGTTCCAGGGTAGGGAGTGATTTCCCCTTGATGGGAGCTACTTTGGCTTTTATGAATAATAAGGAACATTGAGTTCCTTGTTTAGCGTACATAGTAAATCCAAAGGCCTGCTTAGACGCATCGCAGAAGCAAATGAACTCAACTGGGGAGTTCTCCGAGAGTACGCATCTGGGGAACTCGAATTCCCATAAATTATTTAATTCTTTAGCATGTATTCGCCACAAGTTTAACAAATTCTCGGGAATCTGCTGATCCCATGATAAATTATTCCTCCATAATTGACTAATGAATATCTTCCCCTGTACAGTTACAGGAAGAAGTAAAGATAATGGATCATATACGGAGGAAATCTGGGAAAGAACCCCACGCTTAGTATTGACATTGGAGTCTATAGCTGTGGGAATAAGTTTAATTGAATCTTGAATCGGGGAATAAAGATAACCAAACACCTTTTCATAGGTGGGAAGCGGGGACGTAATTGAATCGTCCTCCAACATTTTACTTTGCAGGTTCGAGCAATTGGAATTGCAGGACTGAAGTTCGAATCCTGCTTCCTTTAACCTACCACGTACAGTGTTTTACACGTGAAGTAGAGAATCACGGTCACAGCTAGATGTGACCAAATTGTCAACATAAAAGTTGTTGTAAATGGTATGAGAGGCCAAATCAGCCTTATATTTTTTCGCATGAAATTTAAGTATAAAACTCAAGATGAAAGGGCTGGCATTAAACCCGAAGATAATAGTATTATATCTGTAAGTGCATAATTTGTCATTCACCTTAAGAAAAAAGCAAAATCTATTTTTGTCTTCAACAGATTTCAGGTGAATTTGTAGAAATGCTTTACGTAAATCGCCCAAAAGAACATAATTATTCTTTCGTAACGTTAACAATAAATCCAATAATTGAGCAGTGAGATTAACGCCAGAATAAGCGGCGTCATTAATTGAGGTACCTCCCCGTCTCTTCAACGAACAGTTGGACACGGGGCGGATTTTTGTAGTTACCCCCTGACCTTCCTTGAAGACAGGTCTATGGGGGACCCAAATACAATTCTCGTAAGTCCCCGGCAGGACCGAGAATGGTTCAATTATGCCACAATCTTCGTACTCATTGAAGACTTTTAAATAATCATCGTACAGTCCCTTCCTGTTTAAGGACACCACCACTCTCTGCATTATTCTCAGAGAAGGCACATAGTTGGACTCAACACGAGAAAGCTTCTTGTAGTCCCAATATAGTATCTACCGTCCTTAAGAACGATAGACTCCTCAAATTTCTTTATCTTCTCTTCATCTAGGGAAGACAACTTTCTGTCTTCATCGACCCCCTATGGAATCGAGAGAAAGAAATTTCTCTATCCCCACGTTCGACCGACGATTCACAGAAGAAAGGCTGAAGTGCATCCTCGTACGAATGGAGAGGATTCAAAACGCTGTCAATCAAATAAGAATGACAAGGAGAGAGTGAATTCACCACCTGATCAAAGGGTGGCAACTCTTCCTTAGTTAACAGGATTATGTGATAAAAACGTTCTTACTTCCCCAAAGGGAATGACATACTTGGAGATTTTCCAAGCGCTACCACCTAGGCATCGGATCACGCGGAGATTATTAATCCGTTGAATCAAGTAATCCAATGATGCCATTAATAGCAGACCCATTTAGGTCCCTATAACCTGGACAGAGACGAAAACCTTCCTTAATTAAGTTAGAGGTTATTTCGTCAAACCTGTCCCCATTGAATTTCAGATTCAGATCCCCAGCAAATAAAGCTGAAAATGAAAAGGGTTATGAAACCCTAATTTAAGGGATACATGTAATTCCTGCAGGTTTAAGGAACTACTCCCAATCTACAATTTACAGGCATCTCAACCGATCTGGGTTTATATTTTACCCCGGAATTTAACTGGGTTAAAATAGCCTGTGAAAAGAAAGATCTTTGGCTGCCTGTATCTAAAAGGCAGTAGAAGTAAACGGGGTGTTTATTTACCCTCATAGAAATTTTGAGAACAGGGAAAATGCAGTTCCCCTGCCCCGTTAAGGTAGTCCTTCCAACACAGGATTTTGAACTTTTAGGGCACATAATAGAATAGTGATTCTTAAGCCCACAAAAAGTGAAAGAGTAAGGGAATCCCTTAATTCCTTTGCAATGCGAATCCAAGTGTCCACCTAGGCACTTGGTACACAAATTAAGTTCCTTGGCCCTCTGAAATTTATCTTCGAAGGCCTGATATTTGTTAGACTCCTTAACAGAATGATCCGTAGCCTTGCATAATTTACAGGTTTTAAAGGCTTCGCCATTATTAGCGGAAGATTTGAAGGTATTCATGCCCTTCTTTACATAAGCGGACTTGGAGTAAGACCCTGCCGCCATGTTGGCCTTGTTTCCCGAAGGAGGAGCCGCCATATTGAATGAGCAGTATTCCCACCTTTTTTCATCCAAAGGAGACGCCATCAAGATATCAATTATGTCGAAAGTAAAGGACATAATGGAAGATAGAGAGGGAAATCTCTCATTTGATTTATTTATTACTTCCCTTCTCACACTGTTAGGGAATTTATTGAATAAGATGTGGGCCATAATGGCCCCAGATGTAGAATTTTCTACGAAAAAATCTGTCCCGAAGGACTTATCTAACTCAGTTAAATCGAGTTTGGCTCGTTCAAGAAAAACTTTTAATTCCTTAAAACGAGTTATCCGTTCAGAAGGAGGAATAATTTCGGTTTTTAATCAACGACGGATTTAAGTATTTATCTTTTAAACTAGCCAAAGCTAGGTCATAATTTTCTGGAGTTATATCCAAGCTGGAGACGAGGTCAAATGCCTGCCCTCCCAACTTGGATTTCAACAGAAGCATCCTGTCTGTCTTTCCCAAGTTAGATGCACAAAATTCAAACCGTCCGAGGAAGATCCTGAATTCAAAAATATCAGAAGAATTTGACCCTGAAAAAATGGGGCATTCAAGATTTAACCCTAAGGGTCTATATGAGCTGATTGAACAGTCTCACTGCTCTCGCTTCCACCTTTTAACTTGGGTAATTGTTCTCTGATGTTGGAAGAAAATTGTGTCGCATTATTACACAATTTCAACCTCTCCTCGGGGGGAGATTTTAAAATCAACTGATCCATCAAATCATCTAACTCTGTCAACCATTTGTCGATGACAGAGATGTTTGATTCGATGGTAGTTAAGCTAGCACCATTTTCTTTCATCCATTCCACAGTGCTGCTAATACGAAACTTTTTGGCTTCAATCTTGGCGAACAAATCCTTCGAAGCCATAATTATTATTAGCCCGCAGGCAGAAAAAACAATAAAAACGAAATTGTTCAAGCCAAACTTGCGGTCGACACCAACTTCCAACTTGAAAAGTGATGCACAGAACGAGAGAAATTTAAGTTTAAGTTGGTCAGTCAAATAGGCGCCAACTTTCCATTAAGGAAAAAAAAGGAAGGGGGAGAACAGGATTTATAATAAAAAACAAGAAGAATGTTTCTAACTTTTTTAGAACGACAGCAAAATTAATGGTCAAAGGGAATTAATTTTAACAAACCCCCTCCGACTAGAAGTTAAATTAAATTACTAATATTTTTTTTTTATAAATTGTAAAACATTTAAACAGCAGACACAGAAAGCAGCATATTATATATAGTTAAATTAACTATAATATAATTCAATATTGAGAGAAATATTATTAACACTATTCCCTTTATTGAAAAGGGAGAATTTAAAATTTAACTCATTTAACATTTAAACTTTTTTGCAATTAAATCGAGCAAAAAAAAAAAAAACAAATATTTTTAAATTATTAATCTTTTTTTGCAATAAAAACTATGTGAGAATTTCTTCTCACACAGTTTAACCCTTTTTTTTCAAGAAAGACAAACAATTCAACAAGGCCTACCTTAAAACTTAAAACAAATTTTATTGTATCCTTGCAAAAAAAATTTTGCCCTTTTTGCCCCTGGGAACAGGGTAGGGTAGTTCTTCAATGGATAGGTAGTGTCTTTTACTTCTGTAGGACACAATCGGTCACTACGAGGTTAGAAAAGCTGTCATTAGCTGGTCATTGCTGTAGCATTACCATTTCGGTTGCTGAAGTTGAAACTTTCGGCAATTGTCGAGTTTGTTCATAAAAATTCTTTAAAATGTAAACGTACACATTTGTCGACAGTCATTAAAATGGCTGAATTAATACAGCCTTGAAGGAAAATAAGCTGGGACATGAAGTCGTCTCTGAAGCATTACCATTTTAAATTGCTGAAATGAATCTTCTACAGCCTTGAAGGAAATAAGATGGGACATGAAGTCGTATCTGAAGCATTACCATTTGGTTGCTGAAAGACATTCAATGCCTAATTATTAGGCTTGGGCTTAAAGGCCGTGCAAAGAAATTCAAAATTGAGTCTGGACAATTCCAATAATATTCCGCAACTGTCTCTGAAGCATTACCATTTTGGTTGCTGAAGGACATTCAATGCCTAATTATTTAGGCTTGAGCGCTAATAGCCCTGACAAATAGATTCAAAATGAGTCCGGACACTTCCAATGCTAATCCGCAACTAAGTCAAAAGGGCGCGGGCCGTTGTAAAATGCCCGCGAAAAAAACCAAGTCAAAATTCGACCAATGAGATTGGTCGTTACAAAATTAGCCAATAGGAGCTTAAATTGCAAAATTTCTTACACTTGTTAGGTACACAACGAACCACTAAACGCTTACAGTCTTAGACGGGAGTGGTGATGAGAATATCAAAAGCCAAGAAATAAGTCTCACAACAGTATCCACAATCATCCACCGCTATGCATCTGTTTATGTACGGTATGGTAATGTAAGGATTGAGATTTTGAGAAACCATAACACACCATTCTCCGATCAGCCAGACCTCTTTTATACAAATATTAGAAACCTTAAGCATAAGAATGAAGAACCCAGCATCAATAATATTTCTTTCACTTTAGGCAAAAATCTACTAAAAAAACTAAAACGAAAATACACCACAAACTGAAGCTTGAAGACACGATACTTGGAAAGGCTCGACACATCTATCATTACTTGCAGACATGACACTCGAAAACCACCAAAGATACATAATGCATGTATATAACTACAACCTTATGAACTCCTAAAACATTCTTTAATAATGCGTTGTCAAAATGAAAATGCATATTTTTTATTAGTTAGCAATATAAAATAATTAAAAATAATATTTAATTATAAAGTGTAAATAAACAAGTATTAAATAGATAATCTGGTTTTGTTTTATACACTTTTAGAAGAAGTATATTAAATGAAAGCCAGACGGTTTGTGAATAATGGTTACATTTGTGTGCATAAGTTTCTTTGTTTAGAATTTATTCTAAAAAGAACACCCAAAAATAACTGTCATGGCAAACTGAGTTTGGGATTCACTTTTTCAAATTTAAAAAATATATCGCCCTTGTATTTTTTGTATAATGAAATTGATGGCTTCCGCCCTCGTAAAGTTAAAGTTGAGGTCCGTTTGAGCCTCGTTTGAGAGTATATAAAAACACGGGTCAGCAAAGGGATTTAGAGTATATAAAAAGACAGATTACCAGACGGGATTTAGAAATCAGAAGCGGTCAGGTTGTTACTGTGAGGCAGGAGAAGGGACTTGGGCGCCAGATGCAAAAGAAGTCAGAGGGCTGGTTTGTGGCTTCACATGCGAAATTCACCAGCAGAGCAAAGAGCAGAAAAGTTTTGACATTCTTAAAAACTATGCCGACGAAAAAGAAGAACAAAAAGAATCTTTAAGAAAAATATTGTTAAAGGTCTCAGTAAAGACCGTGATAACCAAGCAGAAAGAAAACCAAAAGTCATTTCAAAATATCGTTAAACTTCCCAGAGACGCTGGTAGGATAAGCCAAAGAAGATTTTTCGTTTTTCTATTTAGGTGTGTGTGTGGACTCTTCCACAACAAGCTAGTTAACCCCTGCTAGGAAATGCACAATTCCTCTTATAATTTTCACCATCGCAGTCTTACAAATATATAACAAGTATTCATTGGTCAATCACCTTCAATCTAGCTTACTGATTGGTCAGTTCCGACCAATCAAACCGCCTGCACGCGACCAATTTGTTTTCCCACATATGCTGGGAGCATCCCCACGTGGTACACGATCATTATATAAACCCAACACGTGTAAACTCCCTCGAGTTTTCTTTTCATTCATCTCTCTCTCGCACGTCTAATTCCTTGCTACCAAGTGCCAAGATGTAATCTTCAAGAACTCCCGTCTTAACCATTGCAGTCAGACGTTAAAGACAATTACCAACGTCCACGCTTTCATTACGGTGACTACAAATCCACGCTTTCATTAGGGCGACAACATATCTATGCTTCACACCGCACATGTTTCAAATGTACAATGCAGTCTTAAAAGGCAACTCACTGTCCTTTATCTCATTCTGCAATGATGCGACTCGAATGAACGAAGAATTTGCGAGAACGATATTCTATCGTCAATAATACCAAATTCTCTCAAACATACATTCGACACTCGGTAGAAGTTCTCAACTTCCCGACCGTCTACGCTGCTTCTATTAACTTTTGTGCGCCAATTATATCCACGCATACCACACCAACCACCTCATTTTTCAACTACGACCGGGACAGCAAACAGGTGGATGGATCGACAAAGGCAACTCAACGTGGAGCATTGAAAAAAAAACAAATTTTAATAGCAACGCAGATCACTACCGACGTTTTTTTCCAAGACATGCTCGACTCTGACACACAAGAGAAATATATGACACCTTGAAGACAACACTACATTTCGTCGAATCACACAGCTCAGCCACACTTAGACACATGTTCTTTTCAGCCACAAGGACAGTATTTTTTCAGACTAAAAGTTTTTCGTTCCTGTAACTTTTACTCTGGGAGAGGGTATTGTGGACTCTTCCACACCAAGCTAGTTAACCCCTGCTAGGAAATGCACAATTCCTCTTATAATTTTCACCATCGCAGTCTTACAAGTATTCATTGGTCAATCACCTTCAATCTAGCTTGCTGATTGGTCAGTTCCGACCATTCAAACCGCCTGCACGCGACCAATTTGTTTTCTCGCTCATATGCTGGGAGCCTCCTCACGTGGTACACGACCATTATATAAACCCAACACGTGTAAACTCCCTCGAGTTTTCTGTTCATCTCTCTCCCGCACGTCTAATTCCTTGCTACCAAGTGCCAAGATGTAATCTTCAAGAACTCCCGTCTTAGTCATTGCAGTCAGACGTTAAAGACCATTACCATCGCTACATGTGTACACTTTTCTAAAGAGTAATTTCTTCCATTTCTCTACAGTTTTTGTTTCACTCTCTCAAGGCTTTTTTTTCGTGTTCTGAAGAATTGTATTGTAAATCTTTTTTAGAGCCAATAAAAGTTCTTTAATTTTATTAGGTTATCTTGCTTTAAAGCGCACGAAAGAAAAAT